GTTTAGGGTTTAGGTTTAGAGTTTAAGGTTTAGGGTTTAGGGTTTGGAGGGCCAAAGGCTTCAATGACTTGGAAAGGATCCTAGGGGTTCGGAGTTTTAGGGTTCGGGCTGATGGCTTGGAAGTATCGGGTACGGGTTGGTTTAACAGTTCCTTGGCTGCTGAAGCCTGTCCAAGCCAGAAAGTCGGAGGACCCCCTGCACACGATAAGATTATTGAGTGGCCGCTGCACAGCCCAAGCCGCTTTTAGGGTTTAGGGTTTAGGGTTTAGGTAAGCCTGAAACTCCTATACCCCCAAGCTTGCATGCACACTGCCAAAGAGTCGAGCGCTAACTCACTTTTTGCCGCTTCGACAGCTGGGCTTCCCAATCACTGCCTGCAATTGATGAGGTTGAGATGATGGACTGATTAGAAAATTGGAAGACAGAAATTGGAATTGGGTTTTGCCAGATTATGTCTTACTTGTATTCAGGCAGAAGGGCAACTTTCTGGCGGTAAACTCAACTCCTCGCACCCTGGCAGGGCTTTGGCTTCATCGAGAGCGAGGAATTCTCGAAAGTTTTCGGTGGGGACTCCGACGTCTTCCTCCACCACTTCCAAAAGAAGCCGGGAGCTTGCTTAGGTTTACGTATCCCCCCTAAGGCTCCATGTGCCCAAGTGGTATATACGCTGGGCCCCAAAGCACCTCTACGTTAATTGAGGCCGAAGTATCTACTATATGTGTACATGGCCACTTATGCGCTTAAACCCTTATGGTATATGGTAGTACCCTTATGGCAACTTAAACCCAAAACCTTAACCGTTATGGTACCCATATGGTAGTACCCTTATAGAACCCTTAGAGGCCCCCTTTAAGGAAGCCATAGTCCTTCAAGGGCTCGTTTAAAACTTTGAGGGATCTATAGGGGTTCCTTTACATAGAGGCACCCTTTAAGGAACCCGTCTTGGGGTACATGGACCCGTAGAGAATGACACTTCGGGTTCCAGCTTTCGTGCTAGAGAGTTCCAGGTTGGGGGCTTTAGGGGTTTAGGGTTTATGGTGCAGGGGTTTAGGGTTTATGGTGTAGGGGCTTAGGGTTTAAGGTTTGAGGGTTTAGGGGTTTAGGGGTTTAGGGTTTAGAGGTTTAGGGTTTACGGTTTAGGGGCTTAGGGTTTACGGTTTAGGGGCTTAGGGTTTAAGGTTTTAGGGTTTGGGGTTTAGGGTTTGGGGTTTAGGGCTTAGGGGTTTAATGGGTTTAGGGTTTAACACCTGGGCTTGGCCCGGATGTTAGAGGAGTCATCGTCGCCCGAGCCGATTTGCAAGAGTCGAGGAGTGTCTTGTTATCAGGCTACTCGTACTGAAAGGGCCCGCTCGTGTTGTAAAACTTTTGGGCTTAGACAACTCCTAAACTTCCTAAACCCTAAACCCCAAACCCTGAACTCAAAACCCTAAACCCCTTACCTTCCTAAACCCCAAACCCTGAACCCTAAACCCTAAACCGTGCACCGGGTTCGAAGTTCCCTTGTAGTTACGGCTGCATGGCTGTCGGATCTTCATTTTTTAGACAAGGTGTTTTCGACGTTATGGACCCGTGTTTCAGGGTTTATAGGGTGTATAGGCTTTATATGGTTTTGGGGGATTTTTAAGTTTATAGTGTTTTGTAGACAAGGTGTTTTCGACGTTATGGAACCCTATGTTGGGATGGTTAATGTACAGCCTCACGCCATAGAAGCAACTCGTAAGTACTTTAAGCTCCACTACAACCCGAAGCCCCGCATGCAGCCCGAAATCATGTGAACGGGTAGGTTGTGACTTACTTATAAGTTCAATGTACAAAAGCTTGAAATATTGCAGTAGTTAGTCGAACCCGCAAGTAACCCCGAATGTAAACCAAACCTTAAGGTTTCACGGCCTTCAGCCCCGTGACAGCCGCGACCTCTAACCCTAAACGCTAAACCCCGAAATCACCCAGACCCCGAGGTCCTCTAAAAGCCTGACGAGGCACTACCAGCGAGGGGACCTCGTCGAGTTCAGTGTGTTCACCAACTTCCGAGGAAAGCCGCAAGGCCCTTTTCGTGGGTTAGGATGGGCTTAGGGTTTAGGGTTCAGGGTTTAATAGGGTTTGGGGATTGCGGCAGGGTTTAGGGAGTTTAGGGTTTACGGAGTGCGGTACAGGGTGTAGGGAGTTTAGGGTTCAGGGAACAAGGGTTAGGCTTTCCCAGCGCTTTCCCTAAACATTCGGTAATTTGGGAATTAGGCCTCGAGGGTTCAGTGGCGGGGACTAGGGTTCAAGGTGACTACGTTGCGCCTAGGGTCCAAGGTAGTGGTTCTGGGTTTCGAGCTCGAGTTTAGGGCTTGTGTTTGCGTCTACCTATAGTCTCCATTGTAGTTCCTTCTTCTGGTATAACCACTTTTAAATCAAGGAGCTTGAAAGGTAAACCCAAAGAGGAACTACAATGGAGACTATAGGTAGTATTTAGGGTGCGCATGTGGGCCCTGTGTTTTCTGAAAAGCTCAAGTAGAGCCCAGACACTGCATCTCTGCATCAGGCACAGAGCTGCGGAAAGTCAAGGAGGACAGCTGGCAGCAATTGTAGGTTACTATTCCGGGAGGGTTAAGGGTTTAGGGTTTAGAGTTGAGGGGTGTTTGACCACCCTAAACCCTAAAGCATAGACCTTATAAGCCTTATGACCATTAACTATACTGTTTGGCCACGCTAGACCCTAAACCATAAATCCTATAAGCCTTGTGACCATCAGACAGTGTTTGCAACCAGAGGCTTAGTCGCAGGAAGCGGGGGAAGAGGGGTTTAGGGTTTACTTGGAGGGTCGGGGGACTTAGTAAATGGTTGTTTTATAGACGTATAGGTACTATAACCCCAATTAGGATCTCTTTTAGGGGACCTATAAGTCTACTTATTACCTACTTACTAAGTCTCCCGACCCTCCAAGTAGGGAGCTACGCCCCGCATCCCCATCCCTCGCAGGACAAAGCAATGGCCATGACGGGGGGCCTCGGTGGCAAAGGACACCGCTGAGAGACGCAGCCATTACTTGGAGGGTCGGGAGACTTAGTAGGTAACAAGTAGACTGAAAAGTCCCCTAAAAGAGACCCTAATTGGGGTTACAGTACTTAGAAGTCTATAAAGTAACCATTTACTAAGTCCCCCGACCCTCCAAGTAGAGGTTTCAAGGATCCTTGGTTTGCGTGTACATTCACCCGACAACGAAGTCATAAACCATCTTGATCCGAAACATGTCAAATATCCCAGAATGCCTTTTAATGTAGGGGCCTAAACAATTACCAACACTATTTTTGGGGGTTCCTTATTATACTTATAGTATCATGGGCCCCAAAACCCCATTCTAATTCTTAAGGCCCCTATATTCGTGACATTCCTCATGCGATGCTCTGGTCAATTTAGACGACAAGACGGACACCCCTCCCCCAGTTCGGATGGAGCGATTGCTCTCAGCTGCCTTAGCTCTGGATACCTCTCTAATTCCATGTGCAGTTTAGGGTTTAGGGTTTAAAGTTTAGGGCTTGCACAAAGAGGAAAAGCTTCAACTTCAAAGTACCTTTTTAGGTTCACTAGAGACTATAGGCAGGGCTTCTGGAATTGGTTCGCTAGTTTGAGAAAGGGTCTGGGGTTCAGGGGGAAATCGGCTTCAAATCTTCGAACCTATGCCTTGCCTTCAAAACCGGGAATCGATTCTTTCCAAGGACGACTTAAGTACACCCCAAACCCTGAACCCTAAACCAAACCCTGAGAAAGGGGCCTAAACCCAAAACCCTAAACCCTAGTTTAGGGTTTGGGTTTCAGGGGATCCCAATGCTCTAGGTTGTTCGGAGGGCTGGAGTTAGGTCCAGAACTCCGGACTTGCATTGACCTTCTAGGTTTCAAGCGTGTCGGAACGCTAGGGTGTAGGGTTTAGGGTTTAGGGATTAGGGGTTTAGGGTTGAGGGATTAGGGTTTAGGGTTTAGTGATTCTCGCCCTACCTGCCCAAACCATTTCTGTTCCGGCAGAGGGATTTGTAGAATTTCATCCTCTCGGCTTCGAGCCTCAGCCCACCGCGCGGACTGCGGGCAAAAGTGCATCAGAAGAGTGATCCCGCAGGTTTTCATAGCTTTGCGGGTGTGTCTGAGGGGTTCCGGGATTCGGCGACTTGCATCCCTGTGTTTGGGGTAGTTACCGGGTAGTTCTCATAATTAGGGTCCTTGTTAGGGTCCTTTTTACAAGGGTGCCGTACTGTATTGGGGACCCAACAAGCGCCCCTAATTTAGAGAACTGCCCATTCATTTATAGGGTCTGCAACATGGGCCGTAGGCTGGGATGTGCTGCTTGCTGATAGTCCATCCTAGTCTAAGGGTAACCCCATGCAACCATATGGATGACCGTAAAGTTTCGTTCAAGGCAGCACAAAACCTGTCCATCCCCAGAAACGCACAATATTAATGTAGGGGCCTACATAATTACCTATACTATTTTTGTTTTCTCTTTTATAACTATAGTCTAATATACTTCAAAACCCTCTTCTAATTATTAAGGCCCTACATTGACCAAAGCTGCCGTAATCGCCCCCGAAGGGCCACGGCCGTTTTGGGGCGCGAAGGACATACACCCCATGTCATCTCCCGCTCAAAAACGAAACACCATGGTTCAATGCCAAGGCGCAAAACCCGACGATATAGGCTGTCAGCAGAATCCCAATGTCAAAGCGTAGAATAGTGGCGCCGTTCGCATTTTATTTTTGAGTGATGCTAGGAGCTTAAGTTGCTGATAGGTTGTGGGTTCAGCAAAGCTGGGGTTTAAGCAAGCTTTGGGTTCCAGGTGTAGTTATGCTCTACTTGGAACCTGGGCTTCGGGATTACGGCTTCGTACAGTATTATACATTTGTCGGGCTTTGTGTGTCGAGCCCTACTGTAAACACTAAACCCAACACCTTGGTCTGCAAACCCCAAGCTCCTAAACCCCTGAACCCCCCAAACCCCTAAACCCCAAACCCCAAGCTCCTAAACCCCTGAACCCCCCAAACCCCTAAACCCAAACCTTAGTGCGCATGGACAGGTCGCCTCACTTCATGCTGGAACTGGTGCTCCAAAATCGAGAAGAAGAAGTGCTCCGGAAACTAAGGTAGTTGCATTAGTCTTACTATCATTGCCGCCAAGAGAAGTATTGCTGCTGCTAGTGTCGTGATTAGTTTTTTTATTAACATTGCTATAGTATGACTATGTGTTTCATGTTGTTTATAATTGTAACTTCTTGCTGGTGTCTTTGTGCGATTTTCAACCAGTAGAAGCAATGGTTGTAGAAAGTTATGTAAGCATCAGTTGGAACTTTGGGTGCATAGGTTGCCACAAGGTGGTTGTTTGTTGGTGTTGTTTTCTATTTGTTCCTATCGAAGATTGGTTTGTGATTGAACCAAACAGTGTTACTATTGGCTGCCTGTTCGCGTCGAACCTGAGCGATTTGCCTGGCGCGTTTTTGGATGGGTCAGAAGATATGGTTTTCTCGTTCTTTGACAGATGGAATCGAGACCGGTTTGACACGGTATTTACGATGCAACACGAGGGTTGATAGTTCATGGATGGGGATTAAATATTTTTCGACCAAACTTTCGTAAGTAAAAATTACATGAATGTGTATATATATATATATAATCATTATCATTAGTATTATTTTCAGACAGATGTGATTCGAAGGTTTGGGGCAGGAGACCGTGTAGGTTTGAGAGGTTACAGGAGGCAGAAGCTCTGACAAAGCCAGTTTTGCCAATTTCGATCCGAGCACAGCGAAGCAGCAGGAGCATGACTGGGCATGACGGCGAAAGACCTGAGCCCCGGCACGGCCGAGGGTTGCCTGTGGTGGGATTAAGTGGACACGCAGGTGGACCTCATTGAAGGGGTCGAGGCAATATTCATATTCAGAGTAACCTTGCAACCCTAAACCCTAGACCCCTAAACCCTAAACCCTAAAGAACTGCATTTCAGGTATTTTCCATGCTTCCTCCTCACGGGCTTCACCGGCTTCGACGGGGGCTTCTCGACGGGCTTAGGCTCCTGAGCCAGGCTCCCTTTGTTCGCAGAGGGTTTAGGGTTTAGGGTTTAGGGGTTCAGGGTTTAGGGTTTAGGGTTTAGGGGTTTAGGGTTTAGGGGTTCAGGGCATTCGGGTTCCGAGGTTTTGCGGCTTCAGGGCTTGAGGGGAGAAGGGCTTAGGATTCAGGGTTTATGCAGTCTCGGAGAACTGGATAAGTGTTTAGGGCCGCAAACCCTAAGTCCAAAATACTAAGACCTATAATCCAAACCCAAAACCCTAAGGGCCGCATAACGCTCACTTCAAGTTGACCCTTCAAGAGTTTGGCTTCATCATGTTCTATCAGCCTAACGTCCCACGAACCCACGTGGTCCTTCTGTATACCCGTACGCTTGCAACGTGGATCTTGTGGGTCCTCACGACACAGAAAGGGTTTAGGGTTTAGGGTTTAGGGGTGAGTCAGTTTATATGTTTTGGTTCAGGACAAGGTCATCTCTACACCCGAAACCCTAGACCCTAAACCCTAAACGATAGACCCTCAACCCCAAAACAAACCCAAAGGCCCAAACTAAACACTGAACGATAAACCCTAATCCCCCTCAAAAAACTAAACCCTAAAACAACAAAAGACCGTAAACCCTGAACGATAAACCCTAACCCCCCAAACAATAAGACTAAAACGATAATCGCTAACCCCCCCTCCCAACAAAAACTAAACCCTAAAGCAAGACCCTAAGCCACAAAAAACAACAAAGACCCGAAACCCCGAACGATAAACCCTAACCCCCCTTCCTAAAAAATAGAACTAAACCCTACGCACTTCAGAGGTTGTTGAGGATCTTTTTTGGGCTGGGCCGGGCTCGGCGGGGCGGGATGAGGATCCTCGCATCCCAGAGAGCTCCCCATACGTGCATGCATACATCCATCTACATATACAGTTATATATCTATATATATACACATAT